GCATAGTACACACTTCACACAGGCTGGGGGGAGGCTGTTAATTAGTTCGGTCTAAACTTTCTTAGAGGCATGCAAGATGCTGGTATAGCTTTGATGGTTTTTCTTCTAAATACATCATACCCAAATAATTATGTTTCCCCCCGGGGATATATTTCAAACAGAATTCAGTAGACGCAGTGCTTACCCATTTTACTGTTGTACATTTAGTTTTGTTCAGACCCTCATCTTCTTTATATGAACCTACCCTGCTCCGGGAGCTCTAGCACACTCAAGTGATAGCTGATTTATCACGTGTGTGTGTGTGTCGCTCCATGTCATTTATAACTTATTTATTTAGAAACTACTGCTGGGTTGGCACCAGTACCCCAGATCCGAACACTACACAGGGTTTGGAAAGTTTAGATCTGAATTCACTTTTTTCTTTTTGCCTAATCCTAAATATAAACATGTAATTAAGGATTTCCATTCTAACACCAAGTATTTCAGTGCTAGCAGTATATTGTTATAAACAGCAATAATAAACCAAGTTTTTAAAGGGGTTCATAAAACTATTTCAAAATCATTTGTCATTGCCATGCAGTTTCTGACAAGAACCAGCCACAAAAAAAGACTAGTATGCTTCAGATGTGTGTGTTTCCTGGGTCCAAGGGAGATATTTCATGATTTTTCTTCAGCTAACAAGTCCCACTTTTACTGACTTGGAGATTTAGATAAGTAACTTAACTTTTCATGGAATGAAAATCACTGAACCGGCTGAGTTTCAGCATTATGCACCTGTTGAAAATCAAATGTCACTTAGTCAACCCTGTGTATACGGTATGTCCTTGTCAGTCACTTTGGAAGCAATGGTTGACTTTAGGTTGATTCATATGGTTTAAGACTGATGCATGTATTGCAGTCATTCAGTGCAGTCGGTTCCTTTTTGACCTTATACTCTTATTTAAATCCAATTAGCTTTAATCTTTAATCGTATACTTGTAAACACAAACTTTGGAGAGATTTTTCTAGCTTAAGCATGTCCTGTTCTGCAGCTCCTTAGTTTGAGAGTAGAATGTTATTCGATATTTAATATAACATTCAAGCACAAATCGGAGGGAGTGAGGGATTACTAATGCATATAAAAAGCATAGGAAATAAGAATAAATGTTCCTACTAGAAAAACATAAGGTGATATTTTCCAGTTATGAAATTTATGATGGATGTCCTGTCTTATAGATGGTATAATCACACAATAATAGATGATGATTTGGTCCACCCTACAAATATTCAGGACTCTCTTTACTGAATATTTGGTTCATAGTCAAATCACTCTTAGGACAAAATACGTAGGACATTTTCCCATCTAATCTTGAGGCTGAATTATTCTAGGAGCAATTTCAGATCAGTGCTTTAGTTCATTCTCCCTCAATCACCGTGGAAAATTGAACAAGTCTTCCTTTGCAATTATGCCAATACCATATAAATGCATATAGACAAGTTAAAATATCAGGAGAGTGTTACTCTGGCAGATCCTGGATTGCAGAGCTCCCCTTGCCTTTCTCGAGCCAGCAATGCTGGCCAGATCCCCCACGTAGAGTTCTCCTTCAGTGATGTTGTGTCGGTCAATCTTTGCAAGGCATTTACAACTTGAAACGTATATACCTTCTAGCAATTGTGATAAATTTCCATTTCCTTAAAAATGTTGAGAGGGAATTTATTGGGAGGGGGAAAGGAGGCTTGTAAATATGCCTTATACAATAAAAGCTGTGTTAACCAGCATTTTACTAACCGGGCTACTCTATTAACTGCAATTTCCAATATCCCCCCAATACAAATCCTCACTTTAGCAACCGGAATCTTTCCCGAGTCTATCTGGCAGGCGCATCAAGTATTTGCACTACAAGTATGCCACTGTCTTCTGCATAACTCTCGGGTAACCAGAATTTTTAGATAACCGGCACCCCGTTTATGCCACTCATGCCAGATAGCAAAGCTTTTACTGTACTTTAAATCATACAGGCACAGTTAACTACTAATAAATCATAGAAAATTAGAGTTGGAAGGGACCTCAGGAGGTCATCTGGTCCAACCCCTTGCTCAAAGCAGGACCATCCCCAACTACATCATCCCAGCCAAGGCTTTGTCTAGCCAGGTCTTCAAAGCCTCCAAGGATGGAGACTCCACCACCTCTCTGGGTAGCCTGCTCCAGTGCTTTACTACCTTCCTTGTGAGAGAGGTTTTCCTAATATCCAACCTGAACTTCCCTTGCTGCAATTTGAGACCCTTGCTCCTTGTTCTGTCCTCTGCCCCCACTGAGAACAGTCTACCTCCCTCCTCTTCAGGTAGATGAAGGCTGCTGTTAAATCCCCGCCTCAGTCTTCCTCACTAGTGAGCGAATAGGTTGATTTATGCTACTAAAGTAATCCTAGGATTACAAGCAAGAGGTGTGAGGAATGCTGTAAAGAATCTCAAATGCAGTCTCTTAGTGTAAAGAGAGAATCTGCTGGGAATACATTTCTCTTAGCAGGCTAGGTTCGGAGTTGCTTTTACTAGCACAGAAAATATTTGGTGACAGGAGAAGATGTATAAAGTGCTGTATAGCAGAAAAGTGTGAAGGATTCATAACGATATGAAATGCTACTCAAAATTCAATGGGTTTTTTTTTTCCTCCCCCATTCTATTGCGAGGTTGAACATTGGGCTCCTGTCACAGGAATTTCTGCTGCAGTATGCACAATTTCCCTGTATAAATGGGCTTGTTTTCAATGCAAAGTAAGCCATTTTTAAACCCCAAAATGGCCAATCTCTAAGCATAAATGGGCCTATTTGTAGAGGGAAGAGGGGGAGTAAAGACAGCTTATAACCATGCAGCAATACAGTTTTACAAGTCTTCTGTTCAATAACAGCACCCCCGCCCCCCACATGATAATGAAGAAAGCTAAGTTTGGCAGGGAGATTACACTACAGCCTACAAGAAATGGAGAACACATTTTAAAATGATTTTTTGTAAGGCTGTACATTTTGCCCAGCATTGTCCTTTAAAGTTTTGTTAGCTCATAGACACTGTGGTGATCTGACTATACACAAAGCTATGTACAGGGATAGAAATATCTCCCTTTTTGGGTGAATTCCATGTCAAACATTGAAAATAAGATTTGAATTCCTAGATGGAGTTGTGGGGATGGAGAGGCTTTCTTCAGGACTGGCAAGATTTTCAGGCTCAAAGCTGTCATTTTTCTATAATACTATGTTTTTAGCGTCAAGCATCCTTTCAGTTTGGACTGCCTAAATTGTTGAGGTGCTGGCAGGCAATGACATTGTTTGGTGTTGTATGTGCTGATCTGTGGATGTCCATGGAGCCTCTTGCTGGTGCTCCACCATGTGTTCAGAGCCATGCATGGGAGGGTGTTTGTACAAGAGGTGTCCTGTCCTAAAATAGAAAGCTAAAGTACACATTTGGAGAACCCAGGCAATCAGCCGTTATCTACAAAGTAGCCGAAGTTCAGACTGGGTACCCTGCGAACATGCAGTAGGTAGAACAACGTCTTTTTATTGCCAAATGGCAAACTGTTCACCGGCAGGGCATGAATTTCATCTCTGCCTCCAAAATTGTACTGCACCAGAAAAACTGAAAGCTGAAATGCTTCTTCCGTGTACCAGGAAACTTGATAGCAGTGCCGTAAAAGTTTGGACACGTGGCACATGGGGTGTGAACCCAGCACTTAATGCCATGTGCAGATTTCTTCATTCCCAAAAACATGGATGGGCCACAGAGGCCAGTCCAAGGCTAGAGGAGGCCATATAGAGGTGCTCCCAATGTACAGCTTTTTTTTCCCCCCAAATCCCAGACATTTGGGCTCTGCACTGCATTGTAGTTTTGTCCCTTGTACAGAGATGAGACTTTTCTGGGCTGTTAAAACTGTTCAGATCTGTATTTGAGCAACAGCTAATAGGCCTGTCTGGTACTCCCACAGCTTAACTGTGAACCTGTCCCATCTGTCCTCTTCATCCCCAGTGCATCACATATGGTCTCCAGGCAAGTTGGTCCTACATGAATCAATAATACAAACGGTGAAAATCTTCCTTTCTATTAGGGTCCCAGCCCTGCTTCCCATGAAATCCATGTTGAATTCACTATGAGTTCAATGATCGCAGATTCAAGCACCAAGGATGATTTCCTGTGATGGTATATAATGGTCTGATCCTATGATCCAGCAGGGCACCTTACTTTCTTCTGTGCCCTCCCAACAGAAGTGCAGTGAATTAAGAACGCTATAGCTACCCCACCATAACAGTAGTGGCTACGAGTTGGCTTTTAAATCATGGACAAAATTGGAAGGTGGGAGAGGTTGATAGTGGTTTCTGTTGCAGCTGGTGCCTGGCACTGTCTAGGTTGTTGGTTGGGGTGCCATCAGATTTAGAGATAATGATCACACCATATAAACTGGATCGACAGATGCAATGTGCTAACATGGCCATATCTCATCCTTTTGTGGAGTAAATATGCCAGACATAATGTCGTTAAAATATTGCTTTCCTATTTCTTTTAGTGATGCAAACTTGGATTATCATGTTAAAGATGATGTACAGAGTGCATAGGCTTTGTACAATAAATATGGTTTATATTCAGCATGTGGCACTAGGATCTAACTACTAAACTGTCATAACATTGATGAATCGTGGCTAAATACTGGTGTATTGAAGTGAAATTTTATCCTGAAAAGCAGGGGGTGTGTGAATTTCTGTCCTATTTTACCATATGTCTGAATAGTTGGATAGGCTAGACACTGTTGACAAACATGCACCCATTATATCCAACTTCACATGATGATTTAGCTAAGGTTTGTCCTCACACTCACTGGAGCACATAATGAAGCCATATGTCTGCATTAGTAAGACACTGGCTCAAATCAATTATTTTTAGTTGTATTTGATCAGACTAAATTACATTGTTTTATTGTTTTCTCTTACTGTAAAGTAGAGGAAATTTGATGTTTTTTTAAATCTATTTTTTTTTTTCAGACTATGGACAGTACAAAGTATGAGCTGATTATAGAAGCTAAGGACATGGCTGGTCTCGATGTGGGATTAACCGGCACAGCAACTGCTACCATTCTTATTGATGACAAAAATGATTATGCCCCCGAATTCACCAAGAAGGAGGTAAGGTTTAACCCTCTCTGTCTTATTAACTTTTGCAATTAGTAAATCAGTTAGTTTCTCAAGGTATAATTTTACATTAGGGGAGAGCGGAACAAGTAAAGGTAGTGCTAGTATATCAGAGATTATTCAGTGGTCATGCTAATTTGAAAAGCAATTAAAAGTAAAATATTGTTTTCTCATCTTGAACACCTGATTGTACGAGACCAGTTGGTTCTGGCTTTCAGGGGCTCTATGAAGCCAACACACAGCGAGCATACCCGAGCCCATCCTAGTCTCTGAATAGCGTTTTGACTCTAGGGGCCCTAGTCTCCTCCAAACCCAACATTTTCTACCTCATTTAATTCTGGGCCCCATAACCTATTGCCTTTTAGTTTAGGGTGACCTACTTTCCCCAAAATTTTACATATCCTAATTTCTTCCTCCCTTACATAAATACACTTACATGCATCATTTAAAATAATTTCCAAAAGCAGAAGGTACCCAAGCTCTAGCCCAGCCTCTTCAGATGTAGGCTAGGGGAATGATCATTTGTAAATTCAGTGTGCCCTGGGGGAAGAAGAGTCCCCTCCCTTCAAGCCTCCTAGCTCCGAGGTTTAAAATATTATGAAACTTAGACAAAAATCAGCCTGTTTTGTCAAGACGACCATTTCAGCCCTTTCCTTTTGTGACAGCTGGTTTTGACAGTTTTATAATGCAAGCTGAAGTCCTTAAGGCTTTAGATTTCACATGTGTTATGGGGGAATTTTCTCTCTTCCAAGAGGAGTTCTGCTGACCGATGCTGGGAGCCTGGGAAAAAACATAGGTGGTTGCTGCCTGTGCGAGAAGGGAATTAAAATTTTTCAGCCCCGATGATCAAGTTCTCTGGTTTCAGGCAACCCACCCCTATCCTGCAACCCCCAAGAGTACAGATGATTTTTAAGGGCTCTGCCAGTTGGACACCCCAAAACACTTGGTTTGCATTTGGGCTACAAACATTTCTCCAAGCTCTGCAGCTCCTGCAATTAATTCCAGATGATAGCAAGCCAGCATTGTCGATGCTGAATTTAATGCTGTTTTGAAAAAGGGCAGCTCCACAAACCTCCTGTTACAAACATCTTGTTTTCTTCTTTGTGCTGCCTTTTTTTCCCCTTTCTGGTTTAATTTTAGACATTTGACGGTGATGCATTTGGAAAAGAGTGATTGTAATTTCAGTGTAATAATTATTCCCTCAGCAACTGCAGATCAAGGTCTCAGATTGAAAAAGGAAGCTTCAAAACAGCTTTTTTTTGTAGTTAAAATAAAATTCTATTACTAAACATTGCCAGCAACACCAGGCACTTTTAAGAAAGATATTTCTGCCAAAGCTTCACTGAACAATGCCACAGACCGTCTAGGGCCTGATCCAATGTACATGAAGTTAATGGAAACCTTGCTACAAATTCAAGTGGGCTATTGATCAGACCATTAATCTTGTTAGAATATTTTTTTTGGATCAGGCTCTTAATTCTATATGAGCTATTTCATTTGGACTTTTAATTAAGATATACATAAAATCTTATGTTGTCGTAGGCTCTTTTAAGTGAATAATTACTAATCAGTAGGAGGACTCACCATATTAGGAACATGAAGTCATTCACATTGAGGTTTTATATGTATGTGTATGCGTGTTTGTGGATAGATAGATAGGTGTTTTATATATAAATTGTGGTTTTATATACTCAAATTGAGGTGTGTGCGCATATATATCAAATATGTATGTGTGTGTATAGATAGATAGGTTGAGATTTTATATAGTCAAATTGAGAGTCAAATTGAGGTGTGTGTGTATATATATTTATAAAAAAAAAAAATTATATATATAAAAAATTAGCCCCAAAATCTGCATATGGGCACCCAGTATTAATAGTTTGTTTTTAAGAAGTTGCAATATCACAGTCCAGTAAAGCACTACAACCTCCAGGTCATTCACACCTTTGAAAAATCAGACACCTTAATACAAGTTAACCACCCAGGCTGGAAGAGTTGGATTAAATAATCGTTACTACTTGTTGGAAATACTGATAGGTCCTTTTTAATTGAAGTGTCCTTATTTTTATGCTATATACCTTATTCTTGAGCACTTACAAACCAATTTAAAATGGTAATGCTTTGTAATTTAAAATGGTAATGCTTCCCCCTTGGTCAAGCTATTTACTGAAACAAAGCTCAAGCATGAGAACCGCAACCTAATGTCTTCAGGATTTCAATTAAATAAGAATTACCGTTGGATTGGATGGGTTAGAATCTTATTAGTAATTCGTAAGTCTGAGCTGGCCAACAGTGGGGTGCGAGGGGGGAGCACTGTGATGAGGAAGGGTTAATGAATTCTTGGCATTGTGCCTGTTTTGTGGTAAATTGTATTTTTGTGGGCCCTGTGTATGGGGAGTGTGGCAGAGCGGGGGCCTGGGGTGCCGTGACCTCCCCTCGCGCCCCTGCCTACCGTGCCAGATCCAGTTTCTTGCATCTTCTATTACTCGCCCACCACATCTTTGATGTTTGGTTTAGTAGGGAGGCTGCCTTTCTCCCTCCCTGGCACGGTGCCTGACTTGTTGTATGGGGGTGCTCTCCAGTTGCCCGCCTGCTTGCTTGCATGGGCACCTCCGTGCTGCTCTCACGGCCCCACTGCACCGGGGCTTTAATCAGCTCACCCCCCTCCCGGGGCTCCTCCATGCGCCCGCCCCCTCCTGGGGCCCCCTCGTACAGACACTGCCCCCCTGGGCCTGCCCCTCCGTGCTCACACTCCGGCCCCCAACTGGGCCTATGCCTCACGCCTTTCGCGCTCCCCGCCCGCACTCAGGCCTTGCTCGCGCCTTTCGCGCTCAGGCGGCCTCGGCCCCACCTGGCCCCAGACCCCTTCCTTGGGTCCTACGCCCACTGGGCTTCTCCCACTTGGGCT